CAGAAGTATGACGAATCTATTGGTCATTTCAGGTCAGACAAATCTTTACGTAATAGCAATACGTTTTTATCGTGCGCTGTTTTTGTAAATGTATAAACATGTAGGTGTATATAGTATCTATAGCGAATGATCGATTTTTATATTGACATTACATTTTTTTATTTTGACATTACATATTTTTATATTGACATTACATATATTTATATTGACGTATAAAGCTCCTTTCGAATACCATGGCGTTTTTATAATGCAGGTCAACAAAAAAAGATGCGGATTCGTAAACTGACAATGGATTGGGCCGATAATAAATTTTGAAAAACAACTATTCCCTAAAAGAAACCAATTTTGAAAACTTTAGCCAAATTAAAAAACTAAACGCCGATTTTACCAAAAAGCATTAGAACCCTACGACCCCAATCCCATTCCATATCTGCCTATGATACAGTATTTTTCTGTATAAAATGCAGTATTTTCATCAAGAATTTTAATTCAAAGAAAGCTTTAATCAATACCCGAGACTAACATACAGTTCTGGGTCTCAGGTAAATACTAAAGATATGGGAATCCTAATCTCGATGTATCTACTTCCAGAGGCGTGCAAATATGAAACGTACTACCTTAAGAAGGATTTATCTTCATGTGAGCGCTACTTTAGATGTACCAACCTCGGTCCTGACCTCGCCTACTTCTGTCCGTACGGTTACAGCGCTGACCCACAGGGCTATTACTATTGCAGATTCGACTACGGTTGTCGGGCATCGACAGGTAGCATAACTTATAGCAGCTTCCATGTCTTATATACATCATGACGCATAGCATTACTTATAAAAGCTAACATGTTTTATGTCATGTGCAATATTTAGAGGTTATGTCACTATCGTGGCATATATGCCCGAGGTCTCAGTGATATATGGCCCGACCTTGGGAGGGACATTGATCTCTGAGAACCGAGGGCATATGTGCCACGATAGTGACATAAACGATTTATAACATACCTATGATGATGTAGACTTGTCAGAGAGTACCGTTTTCTTATAGAATTGACAAATGGTTTGAAAATGATTGAAATGAGTTTAGAAAAAAATGCTCGCGCAGTTTTATCTTCGATTGATTGGTTTTGACGTCAGCGCCTTGACCAATCAGAAAGTTAGCGGGCGCGGGCTTTTCAAAACTTATATTGGCCCGCTGTCTTGTGTACACTTTGCACTATACATCATCATAGGTATGTTATAATATTACTTATTACAGCTAGCATAACTTATACATCGTGACTTATAGCAGCTAGCTCACGTCATATCATGTCTTGTAGGAGCTAGCTTGTACGAGCTAGCATGTGTTTATAACGTCGTGTCTTATAACACCATATAGCAGCTAGCATTTCTAATACATCATGCCTTAGTTTAGTACATTAACTGCAGCTAGAATAGGTCATGTCATGTCTTGTAACAGCTTATAGCAGCTAGAGTAGCATGTCTTATTCATCATGCCTTATTTCAATACTTATCTTATACGGCATGCTTTATTGCATTACTTATAGCAGCTAGCATACGTCATGTCATGTCATGTCTTATAACAGCTTATAGCAGCTAGCATGTCTTATACATCATGCCTTACTGCATTACTTATAGCAGCTAGCATTAGCCATGTCATTTACGTGCATTTACTAAACGTCATGCCATTTATCATTGTTCGTAGCAGCTAGCACCTCTGATATATACATAGTATGATCACGATAGTCACGTAGCCTTTAACCGGACAATCAAAGAAAAAAACTATGACAAACATATAAATAAATCAGCAAAAATTGACAAATATCACTAAAGAGCTATGTAAGATATGGCAAGCATTTTCAAAGGGCTATGTCTTTAGTTCTTAGAAAACGTTAACCACAAAAACAAATGGTTATGTTAGAACCATGTCTTGTCTTCAATAAATGACAGTAGGATGATAATCAAGTTGAATGGATTATCTCTTAAGCTGTCCCTAATCCACCCATCTTCACCAATTTTCCCTAATTCTGACTCATTTTTCACCAAAAATGCAGCATTTTATTTCAGCTTTTATGACAAAATTACAATTTATTGTAAGAAATGATTTACGTCTATAAAGGAAAACTTTAATAATTACTTTGGGATTAGGATAATCCGAAAACAATAACTTTTTTAGGCCGAATTTTCGACCTAAAAATAGCAATTTTTTTAATGAGTTTAATGCACGAAAACATTGAGCTATGTCACATTATTGATCTCCAAAAAGAAAAAAATGATTTAAATGAGATAAGCATTATCTGATAATCCATTTGTCATTTTTACCTCATAGATCATGACCTTAGTGTGAAGTGTATGAAAATATGTCACTTAGAGCGACATTTAGATGTACCCTATTTTATGCAATGATGTTTATAGATAGAGTTGTATATGTTCCATAGATGGCATGATATATTCTACATGGGTGAGTGCTTAATACCCTGTGTATTCATTGTTGCATAATTGCGTATTATAGAAATGAGCATGGATATGTCAACATGACTGTGCTGTGTAAAGTATGTACAGTAAAACATAAATGTGTTTAATACCTAGTAAAATACATAAGATGAAATACTTGTTTATATATTTGTATTGTATAATGTAAATGAATATTTGAAATATTACACATTTGCGATGTTTCAACAAACATGATTCGATACCATCTTATTTGAATTAACTCTTCCCATGTGTATCTTTCTTTATCATCAACCATCTTGGATGTTTCGAAAGTGCCTTCTGTAAAGGGGTTTGCTGTAAATTATCTTTCAAATAGTGTTATATGTAGTAGGTATTGATACAGGTACCACTGTGTACAGAGTACATGCAAATAAAAATTTTCTCCAATGGTTTGGCCAAACATTTGTTGCATTTTTGTTCATTTCAAATATGATATTTTATGATATTCTCACTCGATCACTCTATTCCCTCAGTCAATACTTCGGGCTTAGTATAAAAAACCTTATACCTCGTACCCACGTATCCACGTACTTGGGGCATGATACATTCTTTGAAGGGTTCAATTGTAATGTTTCGGATTATTCAGATTATATGAATTGTAGGTACATTAATGCACTTGTAGACCTACGTGTATGTCTTATAGATCTAACATTTTTCTAGTCATAAAATAAGGCCAGAATTGCAAAATTGTTTACCTTTGCTATTTTATCCTCGATTAAAAATGCCTAATTGAAATGCTCGTTCACTATAGAACCAATCTACACTAAAACGTTTTTTATTTGCTGGGAAATTCCAGGAAGTCGTCTAAAAGGTGTCACCTATATTGCCACATTTAGATTGCTCCCCATTCAATATGGAATGATCATCCACTGTTAAGCACAACTGCACAAATTACACTATCGTGTGGTGGGGTGAATTTACGATTCCTGAGACTAAAATTATCTTTATTCATGCTGTGATTAAATAAAATGAAACACAGAATACCCCGACATATTTAAAACTTATTTAGAATGGATTTTCTCTATTGAAAAGTCCTTTGAATGGCGCTATTTTGACAATCGATAAAAAACTAAAATTAACAATTCTGACTTTATTTTATGACTCTATATCTATATATCTTTGACTAGACGGATTTCACATCAATGGATACTATGAATGTATTAATACCTCAGATAGCATTAAGATTGAATAATCTTTTAAAACTTTAATTAAAAATTGAACCCTTCTAAAACTGTATCACCACCCACGTACATGGGTATGAGGTACGAAGCCAATACTTCGTAAAGAAATCATGAAATAACAACATGTAGAACAAGGCATTAACATTACAAAATGTCACCACGTTGTAGTTCAAGTCAAATCTTGAAAAATTGGTAATTTGAAGCAAGTTGAAAATGTTTTTTTTGATCTTTTTGAACTTGAGAGGTCAAATGTCAAATCAAAAGTCAGATTTGACTTCTGAGAACTTGAAGGTGAAAAAAATTCGGTCAATTTGAAAAAAGTTG